TTTAGGGTAATTAGTGACCGTGGATCTTTTATTGCTTGAAAATTTAAACATCCATCATATTTTTGTATCATCTCTGATATCTTGTAAGGAAGCAAAACGGTGTGAGTACTTCATGGCTTCTACCCTGAAGGTCCTGGGGCCGACTGTCAGAACCCCACAGTGCTGGACTGCTCCAGCCTAAGAAACCAGGGCCTGCGTCTCCAGGAAGGAAGTCTGCCAGGGTCACCCCAACCTCACCCGCCCACACCCCAGGAACCACACCATCTCAATTCCAGTACTGAGGATGCTCACTGCCATCATGACGGCCAAACCACGCAGGGCCTCAGGTGTTTGCAGGGCTGTTCACACAGACAGTGCAAATGAAATGTCCCAAACGCCGCCACCTGCTCTTCAGGTTCCAGGGCTGGGGACGAAAGCAGAGCAGAGAGCACGGGGACCACGGTCCCCTAACTGCGCAATATCCCTGAGAATAAATCCACTTCAGAGCTAGCACTTTCCCAGCAAGGGCAGAAAGGTAGTGTCACGGTTTATGTGGGTAGCCCCCAGACCTCATATATTTGCATAGTGCATTTGTGATTGGTTTATTGTCTAGTGCTTGGCTTGGGGGTGTGAGCACTACACTGGCCTAGGAGCGGAGCCAGGATGTAATGTAATGACAGGAAGAAGGTGTGTCTGGCTCTCTTTCCTGTTACCTCCTTGCTGTTTGCAGCCCCATTAACTGCAGTCCCCCCATGCCACCCTGCCTTGGAGCCAACTGAGTATGGACTGAAACCTCCAAAAACTGTAAGAAATAAACCTTTCCTTTCTCAAGTTTGGGCTTCAAGTATTTTCTCTCAGCAACCAGTAAAAAGTAACTAAGACACACAGCGTGTAGAAGTAACACACTGGAGATCAGGGCAAACAGACTGCTTGGGACCAAAACAGGAGCAAACCCTTGCCACTCCAGAAGGGAAAGAAAAACTAGACATTCTAGGCAACCACAGAGCCTGAGGCTGCTGGCATGTACTTGGGGCCGGGAGCAGCAGTGTGCAGGCCGGGCCCCAGCACTGGGTGAGCATCTGTCAGCAGGAGCACAGGGCCCAGGGCTGACTAAGCTGGCAGACCCCGGGGAAGCACCCACACCTCACCCCGATGCTGCAGAAGCCAGTGCTTGGCACTTAAAACGTCAAGCTGGTAAAGTCGGAAGCGACCCAGAGGCCGCCTAGTGCCCATGTTTTACTGAGCAGCACCATGAAGACCAGGAAGCCCCAGGAGGCTCTGTAGCTACCTGAGCCAGGATTCTTTTTTGATTCTTATTTTTCAACTCGCCAGCAAAGATTTCAGTAGAATTTTTTAAGTTGAAGGAAAAGAAAAATATGCATAATTAGAGCTATTATATACTAAAGACCTTCAGACAAAAGAGAAGGGCTTTTTATCTATTATTTCACTTGGGCACCTCCTATCCCCTTACAGTTCCAGCCAACGAAGGAGAAGACAAAGAATTGGAGCTGGAGGAGTTGTCTTGCTGGCTGCACACAGCAGGGCCCAACAGAGGGAGAAGTGGAGGTGGCTCTGCCACGCTCACAAAGAGGGCGCCTGAAGCTCCCTTGGAAGGAGCTTCAAGATCAGTGTTTACTTTTCCCTCATTCTTAGAGCAAAGTCATTGGCCACAGTCAGGAAGTAGACAACGTGAATATCCCTCAACTGGGGAATGAATGAAATGTGATACATTCCTGCCATAAACCATTACTCATCAACAGTAGGGTAAAATGCTGATACATGTTACAATATGAATGAAGCTCAAAATGATCCAGCTAAGGAAAAGAAGCCAGTCCCCCTAAACCTGGTAATACGTGATCCTAGCTCTGTGAGAGGTCCCACATCTACGTCTATCTATAGGAACAGACGTGTGTTGGGAGATGCCGAGGAGGGAAAGTAAAGTCACTGCCAGACGGGCTTCCTTTCGGGACTATGAAAATATTCAAAATCAGACAAGCGTGGTGTTTGATAAATACACTAGAAATTTAGTCGTACCTTCAAAAAGGTAAACATTATTAGATGCTAATTCTATTTCAACAGAGCCACTAAAACATGCTCCAGCCTCTTGCCAATAGTATCAAAGATCCCCCAATAAGTTTTTTGAAACCCCTCTGAGTCAACAGTTAATCAGCCATCACTCAAGGTGACTGTTGGCAGAACATGTGGGAATCAGGGTACTAACCTGGTCTAAATTAGTGTACTTACCTTTAGAATTCCTTCTTGGTGCTTTTTATAACATTTCCAAAATCTTTTGCTTTTTCTAGGCTATTTTCTCTCCTTTTCTTTAAAAGCTCCGTAGGTTCAGCTTGGGGTTTAGGATTACGATCTATTTCACATTAACTTTCCTGGAAAGCTCAAAGTGACTCTCAGATTCTCTCTATTTCAGGTGGAAACCAGACATTCTGGAACTGCATGTTAAGACAAAGTAAGGTTCCCCACTCTCCTTTTCATTCCTCCGTGTCTTTGTGGGAATTAACTGACTATGTAAGAGTGCATCTGTTTGCAGACACGCCTGGGGACCTCTCACAAGAGTCTGGTGGTATTTTGTCACCATGGCTGAGGAGGAAATACTAAGCCCAGGAGAAGTGAAGCCCCCACCTTTATGCTCCTCCTGGGAGACTATTTGACTGTAATAAGTCTCTTGTGTTTGTATATGTTTTTAAAAATAAATGTCTCAATTTTGCCCCCAAAGCCTGCTGTTGTTCTGAGAGCAGCTGTACCATTATCTGTAGGTCAGCGTGAGGAAGACGCTGGGAAGTGTTGCCCCTTGCAGCCCGCAGACTGGCACTCTCTCTGAGAGTTCAGTCTCCTTCTGCACTTGTACCCCTGTGTTTTTTCTTAGTAGTACACACCTAGAATACATGATGGCTACTTTCTTTCCAGAAACATGCACATAACACGCCTTAATTTTTTGTGTCTTCTTTTTCCTTCCCCCTCTCCATCTCTTGATCCTCTCTTGTTTGGCGAAGATCTATCTCTCTGTTTCCTTTTACCTGTCTTTTATCTCACTCTTTAATTTACTTATACTTTGGGCTTCTCATGTAAGAGAAGCCAGATGGTATTTAAGCTTGTGCATCTGATTTACTTCACTTAACATTATATTCTTAAGAGGCATCCATTTTCCTACAAGTGACCTGTTTATCCTTCTTTACAGCAGAGTGGTACTCCTTCAAGAGTAAATACTACATCTTCTTTTCCCAGTCATGTTGAGAGACATATAGGCTTCCCTTCAAGATTTAGCTATCACAAGTTTTGCTGCCATATGCATGAGAATACCCATACCACTCTACTGTAATGCCTTTCATTCTTTCTGGAAGATGCCTAGAAGGGGAATAGCTGGGTGGGATAGCATTTCTAGTTTTAATTTTTAAGCAGTCACAGTACTGACTTCCATACTGGTTGTACTAGTTTATCATCCAACCCACGGTGTAGAGGGATTCCTTTACCCCACAATCTTGGCTTCATTTGTTCTTATTTAATCTCAGTGACGGCCACTCCTCCCGAAGCAAAATGGAATCTCAGTGCTGTTTCAATGTGCAATTCTCTAATGACCAAAAACGCTGAAGTTTCGTTCATGTATTTATGAGCCTCTGATACTTCACCTTCTGACAAATGTCCATTCATTTTCGTACTCATTTGTTTCTGTTTACACTTAGAAGACAGAATAGTTCTATCTTTACTTATTAGTTCTAAAAATTGCTTGTAGATTCTTTATCATCTTATACATGACTATTTCTGTCATCTGCAAATATCAACAGCTTTGTGCCTCCTTCTCCTTCCTCTCTGTACACTCTTCATTTTTCTTCAGTTTACAGAACTGGCTGTGGCCTCCAGAATATTGCTGAATAGAAGTGGAAAGAAGCTGAAACTTCGTGTAGTTTCAATTTCCCAAGTGGAAGCTACAGTAGGAGATAAGGCTGTTTTGCAGATGCTGTTATCAGGTGGAAGAAGTTTCCTCTATTCCTTTTACTATAAGTAGACTTGGTTTTGTCAAATTTTTCTGTGTTTATTGAAATATAATAGATTTTTATACTTCACATTTTTATTGTATTGAATTTCTTAATTTGCCTCCAAATGTTCAACCAAAATTAATTTTTCTAATACTTGGTATATTATCAATTTTATATGTGACTTGATTAGATTTGCATAATGGATTCTTCATGTAAGTTTATGGAAAATTGTGATGTAAAATTTTATTTCTTTGCAATATTTTTCTGAAGTTTCTGAACTAGACTATTTCTGGCTTTGGAAAATAAATTCATCAGGGGAACATCATCCTGACTTTCTGAAAGAATATATATATATATTTTACTTCTTAAATATCTGCTACACTGTTGTAAGGGAACTACCAATATTCTGATATTTTCCCTTTGAGGGATTTTATAATGCATAAAATTTATTTAAAAGATCTGTGCCCATTCTGTATATGTTCTTGAGGCTACTTAACGTTGAAGACGTTGGTCAAAGTTATCAACTTGTCACTGGCACAGTGTTGTTTGCAATGTTGCATTATTGTTTCTGAAATGACATCACCCAGGGGAGTGTTGATAATTTAACCTTTTCCTCTTCTCACCCCCTGCTGTTTTGCAAGATTTTGCACAAATTACCTTCGTTAGCCTCCCCCCAGAACCCCCTTCCAGGTTCCTTATTTTCCTCTCGTCCTCCTTCAGGCTACGGTGACCACCTGTTGCCCTGCTACTTTCTCAGGCGTCTGCTGCCAGTATCGCAGTCCTGAGTTGAGACAGGCTTGGGTGTGCAAGGACCTCACCACTCTCACACTCGACTGCGGCACAGATGTGCATTCTCTGAAGTGCAGGAGTGCTTTGGAAACAGAGCTCCCTTGCTGACAGAGGTGGGTCAATTGCTTGCTTTGCAAACTGGGTCATTTGCCTACTTGATATTCTTTCCAGGACGCTGGAGAGGTTGGTTAGAATAGGAGAGCATTCAGGAAATTCCCATGTGCACAACTGTGTTCTACAAAATTGAGGAGAGTACGTGAAGCAAGAGAGAAAATGAGGAGAGCTGATATACTTCTATACCAGAAAGTAAAATATTAGTGAGAATACCACTGATACTTTAAGACAGTTTAAGAGACTCCTCAGCAACCTCATCCACTTCCTGAAATGCACTCTGAGTCACTCCTGCTCTGCTCCTGGTCCTCAGGGTCCCGGAACTGGGCTCTTCCAACCACACATGGAGCTGCTCCCCAGAGCTGTCTGGAGCACAGGAAGCATGGCTTTCTCTGTGGCTTCTCCATGGGGAATGCAGCGCATGTGCCGTGAGATGAAGATGGATGAGCCGCAGGATGGCTTGGAAAAGGGATCTAAACGTTCAACTCAAAAAGAGTCAAATCTGAGGTACCTTTAATTTATTTAAGAAGATAATATTTCTTAGTACATATTCATTATTGCTACAATAAAGATGCCTAGAGATATAGAAAATGTGAAAAAATCCAGCTTTTCGTAACACAGAATGATGTCCCAATAACATGTATGGTATACACTCAGACCAGAGATACTTTGAAACCTTTGCACTGGTTACCCCGTCTCTGCTTTATTGGCTATGAGTTGTTCTTATTTATTTGCATGTTATATATGTATATTCCTAATTCTGATATGCACTAGGGAAATACATTATTTACTATTTTCCACAAGTTAGACTTTTAACACTAAATGGTATAAAAACTACATCTACACATCCAGCATACATTCATCCTTCAGTTAACTTGTATAACTGTCTGAGTCAATTAGAAATCTAAATATCTGTGCACTGATAGATCTATAAATTTTCATTCCTCTACTACACACTATTTAAATATTTATAATTATATAGTATGAGCCAATGTCATCACTAGTATATTATTTCTTGAAATGTTTTAAATTTTTAAAAATAATTACAAATTAATTTAAATGAGTTATAAAAATCATATAAGTTTCATAAGCTTAGCTCAGATGTGAGAATGCATTAGAGACTCAAATGTTACCGTGCTATAGAATCTTAGACTAATTAGCATAACTGTGTCAATCAGTTGTAACTTTTTATTGTCCAGGACCCCAACCAGTATCAGCACCATCTTAGTCTATTTAACTCTGGACCAATCCCTCCATCATTGTAATGACTCCAATACTTTAGAGAAGAAATGGCTCGCATTCTGCAGTCTGTCCTTCATTTTTGTATATGATGCTTCCAGTTGTTTTACTTACTGTTACAGCTTTCTAGAAAAACTACGGCAGAAATGATATTATGCCCTAGTACAGCTGAGAGGTGTGTGTTAATAAGACTCCTAATTGATGTTACTTTTGATCTCTGGATTAAGTGGAAATCTGACAGATTTTTCCATTAGGAAATTAGCATTTTTGTTTAGATAATTGACAAGATTTTGTGGGCAGATACTTTATGGCTAGGTTAATATCCTATTTCTCACTTTACTTTTGCACATTAATTTTAGCAGCCTTTGACAATTCTGGTGTGCAAAATTAATGCTGTGTTGTTTATAAGCATACATGTGCCATTGCTTATTCTTATGTTTTATACATTTAACTTTTAAGCAATGGAAACAAAGTGTAACCAAGTCATGGTCCCTGTTTTGCCAGGTTGATGGTCTAAATAAGTGCCTATGTTTCCTGTTAGATGTGACATCATGTGTTCACAAGATTCCAAAACAATAATATTAAAATGTTCATTGCATTATGTCATGACTGCCCGGTGATTTGAAAAAAGCTACGTATAACGTTTGATTTTTTTAACTGATTCATGTTTCATAATGTTTCATGATTGGGTTTTTTAAATAAAAATTATTTCTTTATGTTTGAAATAGCCCCCCATTATTCATTTATATATTTTGGTCTTGAGAATAAAGCTTTTTTATCTGATGTATGTCAAATGACATTTATTAATGACAATTTTTTATATTTTTATGTATTTTTGAATTTGCAATTTAACTGAACTTGTTATTCATTCTAAGAGATTTCCTGTTTCTCATTATTCTCTATGAATTTCTGCCTACTAGACTTTTACCAAATAATTATATTCTAGTGATTTGTCTAATAGATCTTCTGTTTTGTTTTTTTTTACCTTTTAGCAAAAGTTGTTAGTATATTAAAATCAGCCCAGTAGTAGCCTTAACAATTGGGTGGTCTGAGTATATCAGCTTTTGGTACCAATTACCACAAATGATATCTTTTTAACATATTTATTAAATATCTTGCAGTATAGTCTGTCATTCCAAAAGAAAACAAGCACAGAAGGACCACGATCACAGGTAATCTTCACACATATTTCAGCTACCTTGAGGATATTTAAAGCCTGTCTTTAGTTTTTTCCATTTGTGTTCCAAAACCTCATCATGATTTTAAGGTACAAATGCCACAATTACTCCTCTGTCTCCTCTGGAATCAGCCTTCTGCCTTTGACAGAGTCAGAGCCATGACCACATGCATGGCCGGGTGTTCTGAGACCCCAGGTCCCCAGTGGAGAGGACAGAGGAAGGTCATGTATTCTCAATGACTCTCATTCTTCCTGACTGACACTCTATCCACGGCACCAGGTAGAACCACTGTTCCTGAATCTTAATCATTGTTCTTTGCTTTAGATATTAGTTCTTCTTGTTAACAATAAATGCTGAGTCATAGCATCTGTTTGTTTTGTACTGGAGTAGTGATCTCAATTTAAAATGCAATGCTTCCCCGCTAAGAATGCATTGCCATAAACCACCCATTCAAGAGAATTTATCAAAATCACTATTATTTTTCACTTATTGTCAAGTATGCTGTCACTCACTATGCTGAAGATCTATTCCGAATGAATAATTCAAACCGCACAACCACATTTTGCATAGCTTCTGAGTACAATTTTATTTGCATCTACAGCATTGATCATGCAGCAGGTATGCCTATCTTAGGAGTTTTGTAATGTCAGAGATGTCCCAAGAATCCTATTCTGTATGAGAGAAAAACAAAGTCTAATAAGGAAATGAAGAAGTAATAAGAAGATTCATAGTTCATTTTAAGATACTAGATAAGAAAGGCAGGAAAAGCTACTCCAGCCTCCTGTGACCTCTGCCCACAAGCAAAACATGTACAGACACTGAACTGCATTACAAAACCTTGCACCCTAATTTTGCAGACAGCCAGAAGGCATAGGAAGTGGGCCATTAATCACAGGAGGCAGAGCTGCAGAACACAGCAATGGCCAAGAAAAGAGAAGACACGGAGGGAACCCAGTGACAGCAAGAAGACAGAAAATGGCATCAAGACCTCCAGGGAAGAATTCACATCCTTTGAACTGACAGAGGTGTCGAGGTCTTGGGGTTAAATTTTAGTAACTGTCCCGCTGCAGCATTCAGAAAATTGGGGAGTGGGGGCTGGGTAGTAAATCAGGGTAAGGGGTGATCCTTGAGGGGGAATGGTCCCAATTCTCCCTGGACTTTCAAACTTATGCTTTTCTCATATCTTTTTTGGCACACGTTTATTTTGTTGAATTATAAAAATAACATACCTAATTGTCACAAAGTATCTAACAATTTAATAAAAATTAAGTCATGATCAGTTCTCACTTAACCATGTGACTTCACATTGCTAACATTCCTGAACCATCTCTTCCACAGCCAGATGCTGTCCTTAATCCTAGAGAATGCCTTTGTATCCTGGAAAATGTTCCCATAGTTCAGAGTTACTTCTCCCTTGGCTCTTACTGGTTCATCTCTACAGAGCGGCATCTGAATTTCTCTCGTTGCTATTGCTTTAGCAAAATTCCTGAAATTGGATATTTTATAAAGACGAGAGATTTATTTATCTCACAGTTTTGGAAGCTGAAAGCTCAAAAAGCATGATGCTGGCTCTGCTCAGGCTCCTGCTATGTCGTGGCATGAGACATCACAACAGGAATATATGAGAGAGGTAGTGTCATGGTTTATGTTTGTGTCCCCCAGACCTCATGAGTTTGCATTGTTCATATGTGATGGTTCATTGTCTAGTGCTTGGATTGATGGTGTCAGTGCTCCACCCACATAGGGGTGGAGCCAGGATGTGATGTAATGGCAGGAAGAAGGTGTGTTTTTCTCTTTGCTGGTTCGAGTTTGCTGTTGGCGGCCTCCATGAACCGCAGCCCAGCCATGCCTGCCTGTCTTGGAGCCACCTGAGTGTGGACTGAAACCTCCAAAAACTGTAAGAAATAAACCTTTCCTTTCCCAACTTTGGACTTCAGGTATTTTGTCTCAGCGATGAGTAAAAAGTAACTAAGACAGGTAGCAATGCAATGAGGAGACAGGAAGCCAGCGAGTGGGGAACACGGGTCTTCCCTTTACAATTAACCAGCTCTGCCTTCTTCACACAGTGTGCTGATGTAGATGTGAATTCAAGTGAAAACAGCACAGGTAGTAGGTACAGATAATCATGCTAGATAACAACTAGAAGTATTTCACTGGGTTGGTGGCAGGTGGAGTGTCAACTTGCCCAGCTTCAGGATCCCAAGGACCAGCAGGGTCCTTCTGGGGGTCCTGTAGTGAGTTGCTGGATTCTGGTCTGCTCTCTGGTAGCATCTTCTCTGGTGCTGCTGTTCTTCTGCTCTTCCATGCCGTCATGACCTGAGCAACTTGGCTTCATTACACCCTGCTACCATGATGATTTTAACTTGCAGCTGGTGTGACGAGGACTGAACCCTCAGGAACTATTAGCTGAGTGAAACCTCTCATCCCAAATTGAGAATGTCAGGTATTGTGACCAATAACAGGCCGGCTGACAAACAGCTGGTTCAGGTGTTTACCATTCTGAATTTTTGTGCAATTTAGGATGTGCCCTTCCTACTTATTACACAAGAAAGTATACTGTTAAACAACATGTATGCTGCACCAGCAGCAGTGTACAATGTTTGCTATCTGATTTCAGAGGCCAGACCCAGTAACCGACAGGTAACATCTAGGTTTGTGCCATTACCTCCATGATACCCACACAACAACCAAACTTCCTCATGACATATTTCTTGAAGCAAATCCCTGGGAGCCAGTTACTATCTGAGCACCTAGTTACTGCTCTTCCAGGGCGCCAGGGAGAGAAGGCTGCTCAAGGAATTCCCGTCTGACCATATCTTCTTCAAGGAGAGCTGTAAGGCATCTACAAGAAACGCTTTAAAATCCAACATTCACACTTACTTGCTACTCATTCATAGCAGAGACTATTCTAGAAAAAGCAGTGCTAAACTTCCTGTACATTCAGACGGCTCTTTCTTACAGATGATCTGTGACAAGATGAGAGTAACTGTGGTTTCCATGGAGATCTCTTCCAAAGCACCTGGCGGATTTGCCCCACTGCATAAGGGGTTAATTCCCTTCTCACCACGCAGGGCTCTTCTGCCCTGGAACTGTAAAACTCTCTTGATTCATCTTGTGTTCTATTATTTTGCTTTTCCATACTTTCTGCAACAGTAGGAGATGTGAAATAGTCATGACTTCTGAATCACATAAAAAAAGATAAGATAAAATGTTTTTATTTCAAAAAGCCTGCATTTACTTACCCACGTTTATGCCCTAAGAATTACTCTTCCCCTGAAATTCTTCAAAGATATCAAGAAAATTTGTACTTGCTTCTTTCTGCCCTATTAATCATAACAAACAGTGAGAACATTTTGCAGTCCATCATTTTGAAGCATTTTCTAACACGGTTGACATAGAAATGTGTTTATTTTATTATAGTTCAACCATTTTTTTAAAAAAAATTCCTACTGCTTAAAGAATTCTCATTTGTTTGCCTTTGTGTTTGTTTTTTGCAGCACGGTGAATTAAACACTGGGTATCACACACACTAGCACACATGCTACCACTGGGTACATTTTCAACCCTTTCTTTTTCTATATGGTTTGAGACAGGGTCCTGCTCAGGTGCTCAGGCTGGTCTTCAGTTTGGGATTATGCTGCCTCAGCTTCCTGGGTGACTGGGATTACAGGCATACGCACAATTTGGAATAGTCTTTTGATTTTGACTTCCAAAGGAAAGTCAGCAGGAGGTTATTAGAAAATATGTTAAATTAAAAACAGTTAATGCAAGGTTATGGTTGAATATCAAACAAGGAAAAAAATTGGCATTAATAGATATTTTCTATTTGGTGAGGTCATGTATGCTAATTAGTGAGACTGGTAATCATTTTTTGATGTATACAAGGATCAAAATGGTACATTGTACATATGCAATACATATAATTTTACCTGCTCATCATACACTGGTAAAGCTAAAAGCTTTGTAAAATGTGTTCTCTCTATTGAGCCACAAGAATAAAATCTCATGCTGAGGGATTTTCAGATACAGAAATGGTACTGAAAATCTGTACAAGAAGCAAGTTAGGGAGCTCCCTCCAAACACATGGAGACCTTAGGTGAAAGGCCCTCTTGCCTTTTGTCTCTCTGGGTTCCATGGCCTCTGCTTCCTTATATCTACAACTTCCCAGGGCAGATTTCTGCTCCCTTTGACTTGGGGTCCTTCCCACAGCTCAGAGAGTCAGTTCATTATCTAGGGCATGGCTCTGGGCATCTCTGAAGATGAAACCCCGTACTCGGGTGCCTGCAGAAGCTGGCATTTCTCCAGTAGTGGGGGACTCCTGGCCCTCCATAGTGTCACTGCCTGGACCCATGCTCCACTCCCAGATCTCCTGAGTGTCCTCCCACAGAGCTGGAGGTGAGAAAACTCCCTATGAACCTCACCATCCGGTGCTCGCTCCAAGGTCACCATCTCAGTTGCTATCCCACTACACCAGGGAGGCACGTTTCAATGAAAAGAAACTGGAACTGCTTTCTCACCATCTTCTTTGTTCACCCCCAAAAGACTCCTGAGAACCTAGAAGATAACTGGTAACTGCTTCCTTCACTGCCCAGCCTCCTGTGAACTACCTGGATCTCCCCTTAGCTCCGCGGCCTCCCGCAGACTCACAGGAACTGGGTGTCACCTTGCTGTCCACACCACCACTCAGTGCCCCCCGTGGGCCCTGCTGATGTGACGAGTCACCCAAGATGCACCTCCATGACCCCAGTGCACAGTGCGGCCTCTTGCAGAGCTGTGTCCAGTGTCAAACCACGAAACAAAGTCTAACACACCCACTAACTCATTACCTCACCAACATGCGTGCTGACTGGTAGGTTGCTCTAAGGTTATGAAAAGGCTGTACATTAAAATGTAGAATGTAAAGCACTGCTCACATGAAAGGCAGATTTTCTTGGAAAACTGTAACAGGAATTTGACAGTAACCCTGGCCACAAAACTAAAACACTTAAAGGTATGAACCAGTCCTTTCCAGAAGATCTGATCAGGGTGCTTTGGCATAGCAGAATCCTTCTGGTGCTGTATTGATTTTTTAAATGTTTATTCCTGCTATAGTACAGCCAAATTTATGATTCTGCCAAGAAAATGCCAGAGTGGACTTTTACAGAATAATACCAGGGTGACTTCTTTCTACTGGGGATCAGAAAAATTAAGTCACAGGAGTGCTGACTCAGAAGTAGAAGACTTGAATAAATCTCTACATACTGACAAATCGAACCCTTAATTACATAATCGCTTCCCACACATTGTCTGGCGGAGATGCAGATGCATTCAGTAAAACACTGTAAGGAACAGAGAGCTCCAAACATGCATGCTGTGTGAGGTCAGCTGCTGAGAAGAGATCTTAAGGCTGTGTGTGATCAGAGTTGTAAATGAGAAGTTGGCCCCGGAAGTGAAGATGTCTCTTTCTGAATCTGAACGGGAATTGAGGCTTTGTGTGCAGGAGGGGTCATGCACATAGCGGAACATCTTCCTTGCCTTAAGCAATTAAATTATTTGGTTGTCTGGTCTCCATCTGCCTACTTCTTTATTTATATTTCACTGGTATAAAGCTGGCCATTATAATTTCCATGATTTAAAAAACATATTAGTATATGTTATCAATGCATATTGATTCCATTAAGCTTAGTGAGTTGAGATAGATAGATAGATAGATAGATAGATAGATAGATAGATAGATAGATGATAGGGCATCTTGGCTATTTTTATTTTTTCTGCCCCCAAATCTCTATTCTCCCATCTCTCCAGTTCCTAAACACGGTTCTTTTGTTTTGCTCTTTAAATTTTTTTCTATTTTCGGTCTCCCATATTAAAGAAACCATATTTTTCATTTTCTAACTTAAAATCATAGTCACAGATGTTGGCGGGATACCGTGCTGACCCATGCCCTGCTCAATGTGCACATGTGTGCCCCTCCTTCTGGGATGAATAAAACATCCTGTGGCTCTCAGGTTTTGATCCCTTTGCACTGGCTTTGATGTGTTGGAATTTCGTCTGCAGTCTTTTCACTTTTTCCTGAGCTCTGGCGGATAAAGCCTTCTTCCTGCCACTGATTGGGCATGTTTCCTCCAAAACCTGCGTTGATGTGGTGTTCTTGCCTCCCCGTGCAGACCGCACTATTTTTTAAGTTATTGGTAACATGGTTGGGGACAGTTAAAATTACTGTGTTTTTGTCTGTGCTTTCTCTTACTCAGTGCTCTTCGTGGTGGTTGTTGTTTTGCTGCTTCTTTAGAAACTCATTTCGGTGCCTCTGCAGTGTCCTGCTGGCCTGTGAAGAGACACAGTCTTTCCTGGAGCTGCACCAGAAGCCACATGGGACAGGCCCCCTGCTAGAGGCTGGTCCCTGCCACCATGGCAATCACCACACCAACCTCCCACCTCTACATCCTCAGGAAGAGGCAGAGTCCTGTGGGAGGCATAAAAACCTTCATGGAATCCTCTGCAGCCCCTTCTGCTAATCCGCACCAAAGGAAGGGGGCTTTCCCCACAGTAGTGTCAGTGGGAGGCCCCACAGCAGCGCTGGGCTCACTGCCGGCTGCTCGGGATTCTTCCTCTGATCCAGGTTTACTGCACTGCTTCCTCAGACATCTGCTTCCACCAAGCCAACCGGACCGGGAAGGCGCACAGCACTGCTTCCACCGTTCCACGGAACCACCCCCCAGCAGCCAGGGAGCTGCCAGCCGGGAGCCATTGCCCCCTTCTCACCATCGCAGGGAGGAATTATTTTCTGCCCCAAAATGCTTTTAGACGTTGATATAATTGGCCCTCTCTGAGATCTGCAGTCACTTTGCTCTCCCTTTGCACCAAATCCTCTTTGCACCAAATAATTTGTTTTCCCCCAAGTGCATCTGCTTTTGGATTCCACAGCCACAGCCACACTGTCACCTA